TGTTACTAGGGGCAAAGAAACAGCTTCCATGTTATTCCCAGACAACAAGAATTTGTGCTATAAGCTGGGATCCCATTAGCTGGAAGCAACTGAAAAGAAGAAAGACCTGAGTATGCTAATTGATCACTAAATGATTATGAGATGCCAGTGTAATATGGGCATGAAAAAGAAAACAGAACCTAGGAATTATCAGTTGATGTATTTCCAGTAGTGATGGGTTGCATCAATACTGTTGAACAAAGCAGCAATGAGACTTCCTCTGGAATGCTGTATACAACTAGTCACTCATGTTCAAGGAAGATAGATTCAAACTGGAATAATGCCAAAAAGGGCCAATAAGATGATCAGGGGAATGGAGAGTCTGTTTGTGAGAGGAAAATAAAAAAGAACTTGGTTTGTTTTAACAGAATGAAAGCTGAGTAGGAATATGGTTGCTGTCTATAAACATGTTGTGGGGGTAAACATCAGAGAGGGTGAACATAGCTATTTGTGCTCAAAGATAATACTGACATAAAATGGCCATGAATACATTTAAGTCAGATATTAAAGGAAGGTTTGTAACTAGCAGAGGAATGAGTTCCAGGAACAATCTTCCAATAGGCATAGTAGGGAATAAAACATAACATAAATGGACCACTTGAACCACTGATGATGGGGGAATGGATTCACTGACCAAGAAGTGTCTTCTTGGGTGGGTGATTTCTGCATGCACAGCCCTGCTCTTCCAAAAAAAAGGGTTTTGACAAATCTACAGTTCTTGGATAAAAAATAGTTTTAGACAAATAGAATAGTTCAGGTAGCAGCCATCAATCTCCATTTGCATTTGTGGTTAACTGGAAGCTAGATAATTTGGACAGTATTATATAGAGTTTCTAAATCAGTTTGTAAAATTCTTTGCAATCTACATGAAGGCAAGTCATTATTATTATCTCTATAGAATCCCCCTGCAGCCTCCCAGCCCAACAATATACTTCCAGCAGCATCACAGGAGTTTCCTGATGTTATTAGCTGACAGCTTCAGTGCCTGGTACATCCAGCTTTACACAAGAATCACGTTTTCTGGAAGTATTGAATACGTCTTTGCATCTGTTGCCTGGAATAGACGTTCTTTTCACATTGGCTTCCCATCTGTATGTGTGGCTTTATGGCAGTGAAAGTGTTAATTAAATCATGCCAAAGAAGGAAATGGTTCTCTCTTCCAAAATCAATTTAAGATACAGCATTTTGTTTATTGGCTACATAAGTAAAATTCTTCTGACTCCTTTAGAAGAAAAATGAAGCCTCTGGGTTTCAAATTTCCTTAGTTATAACAAAAAAAATTAAATGTGTGCATGGGTTTTAATGTGCTTTCTTCCATCTGTCCTAATGATCAATTAAAATGCAGATAATGTATTCTGGCTTTTAAGATGGATTGTTGCTGAAGTGGTGTCATGACTGGGCTAGCTTATCTCATGATAAATACTTTTGCTGTCCACGGATAGATTAAACTTCATGGCTCCTGAGGTTGTTTTGGGGGGTTGTGTAGACAGATAAGAATGGATTACTTGCTTTTAATAAAATGTATCAGTATGCATGTTCTAAAAGGTCCTTGGACAGTGTTTGTCTTCGAGAAGGTGGCACTGGCATAGTCTAATGATGATATTTGTTTATGGAAACTGGCTTTACTATTTCATGAGTATTGTAATTTATTGACAAAAGTGCTTTATTGAACCTTCTTGTGTCTAGAGTGTGGGGATGAGAAGTTTGAGCTGCTATTATAAGACCTCATTTACCTGTCTAGCAGAAAAGATTTCTTTCCTTGAGTCTAATCCGGCAGGAGCCATGAGAGAGCATTATCAGTTAGGTACAGAAATCTCAGACGGCTCGGGTGCGTGGGACACACACAGACCCCATGGTCTGGAATCCATCGTGCTGTGACAGTGATGCATTCAGTGCTTCCATCAAGGGAAAAACCATTCCCTTCCTGGGGGCAGGGCATTGACAGTACAGGCTTTTAGAGGTCCTCTAATTGAAGAGCTTTAGAGTGATGTGAGGTGGGAGTGGTAAAGGGTCAGCTTCTCTAACAAAACAAGCATCTGAAACATTTTTCTCTGTTTTTCATGTGTGTGGGGAGTGAGAAGCAGTTCTATCAGGGACAGCTCTATGATCAACAGAGCTGACTGCTAGATGCAATGGGAATGAAAGTTGGATTTACAAGAGCAGATATTGGTGTACGTGCTTGAGATCCTGTTGTGCCAGTATGGAGTTAGTACTTGGTACTAGAACCAATAAGCTATGTGAGAATGTGCGTTGCTGAATCTGTCTCCACTCTCCATTCTTATGTATGAGAATGTGTCTTCTTATAGTAATATAATGGTTCCAGTCTTGCAAGGACAGAAGACTCCATCAGCGGAGGTTTTGCGTTGCAGTGTGTAAATCCCGTGGCTCCGGTTCCACTACAAATACAAGGAAAGTGAATGAAAGGAAAAATGGAGAAGAGCAGGGTTCCCCACCCTATCCCCAGGAAAAGAGTTCTAGAAACAAAAGACTAATTTAAAAAATTGCAGTGTATACTAGCTGATAATGTGAAATATGGACAGAAATTGCTGATTGTAATCCAGGATTTCATATTTCTGGGCAACTATTCTGCCAATACAGTAAAAAAGGTAAATTAGGCCAAAAGGAAATCTGTTAAATTTAATCTACAGCTAGTGCATAAGGGCTGCATGGCTTGTTTGTTTACCTGTGTTTGCATTGCATTCCTGTGGCCTTAAACGGAAACTTCTTTGGGGCCACAGTGGTTTAAAGGCTTGAATGTAAACCTGACTGGGTATTTGTTCTTGGCTCTGTAATAATTAGGGCCATGAGTGACACTCCCAGCTACAGCTAAGAATTCACAATGAGATGTACTTGTTAATCTTGTCCCTTCTGTGTCTCTACTTTGGTCTCCAATTTTAATTCTTTACTTCTATTTTTACCACCACTGAAAATTAATTCTGTGCTGATGTTAGTATAGCAAGTGCTTGTCCCAGGGATGGTCATGATGCCGCCTCGTGGCTGCTCAGCCCTTTGCAACCTGGCTCCCGTTGGGGCCCTCTCCCCTTTACTTGCCCACCACGCCTTGATGATGTTAGCTTGTTATAAAAGGGAGGCTGCCCCAGGGCTTCCCAAACCTGGTCTTACTCTTAGTACCACAGGTGCTCATGGTCATTGCCTTGAGGGCTAGTTTTGTGTGCTCCATCCTCCCCAGTACCCACTCCCATGCCTTGCAGGTGATTTGCTAACACTGCACTCTGCCCTCCAGGAGGCCCCAAGTGCTGCAGCTTCCCTTGGTGCACCGTAGTCCCCACAGGCACTGGAACTTCTCCCAGCACCTAGTCCTTCCTGGGCTCACGCTCGCTCTCTCTATGGGCCTCAGACCTATCTTGTCCAAGGCCTGCTCTGACTCCTCACTCCACCCCACAATGGCTGTCTCCTTCTGGGCCTCAGGCCCGCTGTTCTTCTGGCCCCTCTTCCTCTCTTTCACTGGGCCAGATGCTTCCTCCTCTTTGCCTCCCCTTCAGGCCCTTCCACAACCACTAGGCATCACCAGTCCTCTCAGGCTATTGCCTCTGTCCCCAGGCCTAGCCGTTCCAAAGCCTGCCTCATCTATCTCGGGCACTGCTCTGTTCAGTAGCTGGGCTCCAGGCACTTGGGCCCTCTACCTCTGCTGCCTCTCTCCAAACTATGGGCTCACTTGCTCCTGTTCCCAGGCCTATCTCTTCCAAGGCCTGGCCTGTCCATGGCCTCAATGCTGCATACCCCAGCTCTGCTGCCAGGAGCTCCTCTCCTCGTGGCTCATGAGGCTAGATTACCTGACCAGCTCAGGCCCTGGGCTTATGTGACTTAAGCCTGGCCCCCCTCTGGTCAAGTGAATCTCTGATTAGCCCTCCTCACCGTCAGTCCCCCCGCACCGCCTGTCTTCTAGCTATGGTATGTACCAAGTGGCATCCATAAACATAATTTGGCATGAGTGTGGGTGGCAAGGTAGGGAAGGGTCAGAGGTCCTCAGTTTTTTCTTTACTACATCATCATAATTCCTCCGTGTTGCTTGTCAGCTGATGGTTTTGTACTGCTGCACTGACATGAATTGAATCATATCACATGCAGGCAAGATGATGATGACACTCATTTCCCAGATGTGGACAGTGAGGTTCACAGAGTTTGTGAAGATTGCACAGCAAGACAGTGGTAGAGCTGGGAATGAAAAATGAGAGTCCAGGAGTTTCTAAAAGACTGATTTGAGGTGCTGAAGTAGGGACACCCAGAAGAGCCCAGAAATTCAGAAGGTGGATGCTGCTCAGCACTTTGACCTGAATATGAGGCCTCAGTCTCATAGCACTGTATCCCAGTACTGGGCTTATTACTAGCATAATTCCTTCCAGAACCATTTTCCAATGATCCAGTTTAATACCAAGGTTATCTTATCTTGTAATATTAAAGTACTCTGATTCAAAGCATATCTGAGCAATATTTTGGACAAATTCCTCTAAATTGACAATTCATAATCCCAAATCCATGTTTCCTGGGCATGTAATGTGGTACACAAGTTATGTAATACTTGTAATACTGTGGAGAAGTATTTTCTCCTTTAGGAAAATTAAAAAGAGTAATACAATTTAGACTTTTGTTTGTATGGCAGTGTGTTCAAGAGTTTATTGGACATTGTAATCAGTTTGTCTGCTTCATTTTAGCACCATTTGGTATAGCAATTCTTTTTTACTGGTTTCACAGAAGTTCCCAGTGGAGTTTGCTGTACCTGGTGAGGTATCATCATGTGACTTTACTGTCATTGTTGCATTTAAAATAATGATTCTCTGCCTTTGAATACCATGTCCCTGCCCTCTGCTTATATTCTTCCATTCCACAAAATAAGATTACCTAAACCTCTGCTACATGTTACATTAATGGTCTTTACAGTAGAATTGGATGAAGAGTATAGACTTTATTCAGTGATCTTTACTGTTCTTTTTATCTTTCAGATTGAGGGATTTTAATGGCTTTCAGGTAGAAGCCAAGTGGAGACAATCAAAATGAATTCTATGGACAGGCACATACAGCAGACCAATGACCGGCTGCAGTGTATAAAACAGGTAAGCTGAACCTGGAGACCATGACTAGCTATAATTTTAATTGCCACTGCAATTGTAAGCTGTGCTGTTCAGGTCATTTAGTTGCTTTTGTGGTGAATGTTTTTGTCTTTTTTTTCTGAGGGTCTGGGAGACATTCCAGTCTGGATGAATGGACAATGTCTCCTGCAAGAGTTGCTCTATAAAACTCAGGACATAACTTTTGGAACTCATCATCCCTGAGAGTCTTAAGCTTGCATTAATCAGTATTCTCTTGGGAAGCTAAATCAGTGACCCCCTTCATACCCTCCCTTCCCCCCCCAATCCCCCCCAACAACAACAACAAGCAAACTAGGAATTAATTTATTTTTTGTAGAGGTTATTTTTATCTACTTGTTCATGTTCTGTCTGTTTTATGGGGGGTTGTGTTTTTCTAGAAGATTTTTTTCAAGCAAATAGATTATTTTAAAGTACTGTAGAAGGATACTTTTGGTCTGGAAGTTTGTGTTCATTTGTTAATCACTGGCATGGTGAGCTGAAAATACCTGCTCTTCGGGGCATATGTTAAAGTCTTAAAAGTTATGACTAAATCGGCTCATTTTCTCCCCTATTTACTTTTTGAGAACAGAGACTGGGTCAAAAGAGACTAGTTCCTGGGGTTGGGAATGGAAGTTCACCTCTGAACTGCTCGTCCAAATCTAGTCTGCGTCAGTCATGACTGAAAGTTTTTGTGTATCACGTGTTAGGAATTTTGGGACCCGAGGCTGACTCCTTGGGCATGTCCACACATGGAAGCACATGTGCTTGTAGCAGCTCAAATAGAAGCAGTGCAAATTTGAGCCTGGGGCTTTTTGCCTCAGTGCATGTGCCCAGACATGCACTTTGGTGTGGGTCAAATTGTGCCACTTGGGGCAAAATAACCCTGCCTGCCTCCTCCCGGATCTGCAGCCAGGGGGAGCTAGAGGCTGGGGCTAGCACCTGTGCTGGCCCCAGCAGTATAAAAAGCTGCCCTGTGCTGGCCCCAGCAATATAAAAGCTGCCCTGTCAAGTAGCTCAGGGTTACTTGCTCTCAGGAGCTTCTGGGGACCAGTCAATTGGTATCTGGGGACACTAGCCCTTGTGCTAGCTAGACCGCTGAAGCAGCCCGGAGAGTTCCCTGCACCCTCTACCCACTGCAGCAGTCTGGCAGTGGGGGCTGCTGCTTGGCTGTAACCTGCTGTGCACCTGCAGCAGCATGTGACCCCAAGGCTGCACACCTGCCAGGCATTGATGGAGACTGCACAGAGGGTCACAGCAACTGGGACCTGGGCTCTGTGCCAGGTAAGTTAGGGGTAGGGGGAGCCAGAGGAGCAGGGGTGCTACTGAGGGTTCAGGGGACCATAT